CCAAGCTAGTCTCTGGCCAATGTAGTCATTGGGGGCGGGGATGGGGTGGTGGTGGCAGGGCTGGCATCTCTGGGAGAAACCTCATGCCAGACCCCCCCAATTGACTTCACAGCTACATAAGGAAGGAGTTATGCAAGCAACTAACCCCAGCAGGAGGAAGGAGAGGAGTTAAAAAGCATGTTAAAAAGAGAGTGGCCCTTTAAGGACTACTTGCATGCGAGCGCACATGCAAGCAGACCCCTGTCACAGATGCCCAGCACACACAGGCGAGTGGGGTCAGGCACACCCAGTCCCTCCAGCTGCAGCCTGGCCTTGCATAAGCCACCACTGCCTGGGGCCCCAGGGCTCTAATCACCTCCTCCTCCAAGCCAGGATAACAAAGAGGTAGTACAAGCAAAGGAAGCAGGTGTGTCCAGTCCACCCCAGGTGGCTCCTGCCTGGCTGCCTTCCCAGGACAGAGACAGGGGCCACATTACCCAACGTACTCCTTGTTACCGTCAAAGCATTTCTTTCCTTGCACATTTCTCATTCCTGCCCCTGCCCCCTCCCTCCCCCCTTTGGCTTTTAAGAACCAGGTAGGTCTGACCTGGAGAAGTAAATGATCCTTGATCCTGCGTCAAGGTATTTTCACAGCTTTCATCATGTGAACTCAGGTGTGCAAAGGCGCCTTGTAGAGGCCACAGTTGGCCCTCGCTCCACCTCCATTTTTCCACCCAGTTTTGCCATGTGCACCATGCCCCAGGGACCCACAAAGTCTTCCCTTCTTCGCCAGCCTCTCTGGTTTCTGCCTCCCTCACCTGCAGGACCCAGACCTTATCTGGCATTACTTCAGCGTGGCACAAGGGAAGGACAGTGACCTCTGCCCTTCCTTCCCAAGGCCACTGGCAGAGCCATTCCTGGGGGCTCCACAACCCTCCCTACTAGAACCTTGTCAATCAAATGCTTTCCAAGCAGCTGGGAGGGGACATGTTTATAAAGTCCAGGGCCTCCTGAGAGAATAAAATGTCCCTCCAGTCACCTCCCTGCCTCTGGTGTGTGAGGTGCTCGGAAATGAGAATTTTCTGCCTTCTGTATTCTGAAGTCACCAGGGAGGAGGGAGACGGGAGGGGAGAATGGTAACCATTTGGGGGTACCCTAAGAATTCCTGAGGCAGAAACAGCAGTTTTTCTCTGTCCCCTGTCCCTCTCTCTGGAGCCCCAAATGGCTGCCCACTGGGGCAAGAGCATCTGCCGGCCACTGGAACCCTTCAGCTCCTGGTTCACTCACCTTGTCTGTCTGCCATGCAGCAGTGGCTGTGCCTGCATCTTTGCTTTTCTCACCAGGCTCTTGAGGCCTTCACTGCTGCTTTCAGAGGATACCACACACCAGATGGTTCGGTAAGATCCGGTTCCAGAGCTCTGGGGCTGTGGTTGTTCTTCCCTTCTTTTCTTCTTCCTCATAATATCCACTTCTTTCTACTCCTTCTCCTTCCCCCCATCTCTCTCTCTGACTCGGTCTCTCTCTCTTTCATATAGACACACGCTCACACCCACACACACACACATACACACATACACACACACACATCACATTTGTGATGGTGCTTTTCCTTTCCAAAGTGTTTCTACCCATACCATCTGCTCATTTTTAATGATTGCAACCCCACTCAAAGGCAGGCATTTGTTACCTCACTGGGAAAACTTAGAATAAAAACAGGTCAATCATTAATAGATTGAGTTAATAGATATTTATTTTCCACTTTGTTGTACCAGGAATTATGCCACGCATTGGCAACACAATGATGAATGAGATGGACGTCATCTTTGCCTTAGAATCCACTAAAGAAGATGGACATTTAAACAAGTAAGTACAATAAAGTTCAGGATGCATAATAAAAAGAAAAAATAGATGGCCTGAGAACATAGAGCAGGTGGACTCTAGCTCAGTCTATGTGTTAGGAACACCACCCCCACACACAAACACACAATCAGTGTATCATTGAGACCAGTAGGATGAACACGAGTTACAAAGACAGAAGGGGGAATAGGTGCAGAAAGGTAGAAAGGTCCACAAATTGTGAAGGTCAAGGATAAGGAGAATATAGCACCATTGAGTAACTAATAATAATCTAATAATTTAGCTTGGTAACAGAGTGCAAGAGGAGATATATGTGAGGAGGCTGAAGAAGTCGCCAGGGGTCAGCTCATGGAAGGGCTTTCAGAAGACCAACCTTTGAGGCAAAAGTTGCATTTTACAAAGGTCATTTTGACTGTAGTGTGCACTATAAGCAGAGAGGGCAGTTAGGAGCCTAATCCTGTGATGCAGGCAAGAGATAACAGTGGCCCATTTTAGAATACCAGTGAGATTCAGAGAGGCAGAGACAAATGAAAGGGGTTGTTTTTATGTCATAGTGTCATGGAACAATCTTCAAAATATATTAAATGAGAAAAGCAAGAACCGTTTTCCTAATATACTGTATTGTTATATATATTTATGTACATATAATATTGGCTGCCTCGTGCACACCTCCTACTAGGAATCAGGCCCAAAATCCTGGGTGTGTGCCCTGACCAGGAACTGAACTGTGACTTTCTGGTTCATAGGTTGGTGCTCAACCACTGAGCCACACTGGCTGGGCTATTATATGTATTTTTAAGAGGAACATACATACATATGCTTGGATATGCAGAGAGTAATTTTGGAAGGATAAATAACAAACGTTTATAAGTGAATGCCCCTGGAAAGAACATCAGAAGAGCTGAGACAGAGGTAGAAAAGCTTCTTCTTGTGTGCTCTCTCAATTTTGTACCATGTGATGCATTATTAATCACCACTAGTTACTTTTCAAAGGAAGTGTTTTAAGCAAAGAATCCACAAGAGATGAGAGTTGAGACAGATATAGATAGCACCAAGGATTCTGACTTGGGCAACTTTGATTTGGCTGGAAACATTGGTGGAGGAGCAGGTTTGGTGAGGAAGAAAAGTTGTTCAGTTTGGGACATGTTGAATTTGAGGTGTCTGTAAAATATCTAGGTACAGATGTGCAATAGATAGGAATCCAAGCTGTTCATGCCTGGAGCTTGGGAGACATATCTAAATTGAAGATAAGGGTTTGGGAATCACAAACGTGTGCATGCTAATGTACTCTACGAGGTGGATGGGACTGCCCAGGTGGTGGGAAAAACAGAGCCTATGGACAGAAAATATTGAAGGGATTGGTGAAGAGAAGCAGGCAGGGTGGTATAGTATGTGGCTGTGGATATGCTGAGAGGTTGCCTATAATCTGACAGATGCTAGAGAAAGTTCAAGCAAGACTGAGTATTTCAGTGGATTTAACTACAGGTAGATAGATAACCTTGATGAGAGTGATATCAGTAGCATGGAGAGGTAAGGTCACATCACAATGGATTGAGGAAACTGTGTAAGGTCAGTGGAAAATGGAGTCTTCTCTTAAGAAATTTGGCTCTGAAGAGAAAGAGAGAGAAAAAAGGTGGGGCAGTCATAGCTAAAAGGCGGTGGTGAGGTGGAGGTGCAACTTGTTTGAAGATGGAAAAGAATAGAGCATGGTTATTTGCTGACTAGAACTAGTAGGGAGGGAGGGGTTGAAGATACACATGTGAGAACATTAGAGAAAAAAGTGATAGGCACAGGTGACAGAAGAGACAGAAGGAAAACTGAATCTGGAACACAGGTGGGAATATAGCTGTCAACAGGGGAGGACATACTTCCAAGGTAAAAGAAAATACAAGGGATCATGGTGACTGACTGAACACTTTAAGAACCCATGCCACCTATGTACCCTCCATTTGTGTGAGTGTGTGCATGCATGCTCGCTCATGTGACCCCTCACCATCCCATACTATTCTGTGCTTTGCATGAGTATCTGGGTGAACCTGTCTATGGTTTCACAAATCCTACATATCTCTTTTGCGTTATAGACCATAGTCCTCTTAAAAGTTATTATGGTTTTTTGGTGAGGGAGATGATGGGGCTAGGATGAGAAGTAAAGGGCTGGAGTCAAGAGGGAGGCTACACCTGAGTTCCTATAACGAGCACCCTGACACCCAGTTATCAATGTCCTTCCTGAAGAGGGTTGGCCCTTCTTCTATTATTGTCATCCACCCAACAACTCAGCAAAGGGGCAAAGGGAGTTGGGGATGGCAGTAGACTTAGCTCGGAGCTACCTCTAGTCACAAGGATGGTCAACTGCTAATGAGCACCAGAGGGACAGACTAGGGACAATCCCATAAAAGAAATGTTTGGGCCATTCAAGCATTGAAAGGCATTATTTGACACACATATTTAAAAACACACACCATGATGCAAACAAGATACAAACACTTTACACTCTGAGCCTCAAAAATCAAGGAACTCAGAAACAAAGACAAAAAAAATCAACACAATTGAAACATAGGCAAAGGACTTCAATACACATTTCTTAAAAAAAAAAAAAAAGATTTACAGATAGTCAACAAGCACACAAAAAGGTATTCAATGTCATTCGGCATTAAGGAAATGCAAACCAAAATTACAATAAGATACCACTTCACATTATTAGGATGCCTACTCTCAATAACAACACAAAAAGTAACAAGTATTGATGAGGATGTGGAGAAATTGGAACACTGTACGTATATTGCTGGAGGAAATGTAAAATAGCACATCCACTGAGGAAAAGAATATGGCAGTTTCTCAAAACATTAGGCAAAGATTACAGTAAGATCCAGCAACTCCACTTGTAGGTGTGTACCCAAAGGAATTGAAACCAGGGACTTAGATAATTGTACACTAATATTTGTAACAGTATTACTCATAATAGTCAAAAGGTGGAAACAACCCAAATGTCCAACCATGATGAATCGATAAATAATTAGTATATGCATACAATTAAATTATTTAGACTTTAAAAAGAATGAAATTCTTATACGTGCTACAACATGAATGAACCTGGAAAGCATTATGCTAAGTGAAATACATCAGATACAATAGAACTAATTGTATGATTTCACTTTTATGAGGTGCCTCGAGTAGTCAAATTTATAAAAGAAAGTAGAACATTAATTATCGGGGGCTTTAGGGAGCAGATAATGGGGAATTAATGTTGAATGGGTATAAGAGTTTCACCTTAAGATGATGAAAAAGTTCTATAAATAAATACTGGTGATAGTTGAACAACAATGTGAATATAATTAATGCCATGGAATTGTATAACTAAAAAGGTTTAAAGTGATCATTTTATGTGTATATTACCACAATAAATTTAAAAAAAAATAAAGCAAGGATGAAGAACCCTTTTTCTCACAGTCTTCTAGTTGGGGTTTGGTTGCTAGGTGGGGAGAGAGCCCTTCAGGGCTATAGGAAAAAGGGAAGAGCCACAACCTCAGGGCCATGCCTGCCTTTTCCCACATTAAGCATGTGGATCCAGGCAGGCTACACAGCTTACTACTTTCCAGTACCTTCAAGAAGCAAAGAGATGATCCAGATATTATTAGTCTAGCATCCCTATTTCATGGCTTTGATGGCCAAGCCCAACTTTGCTAAAAAACAAAACAAAACCTTCTTTTCCTAAGATGTAGGGTTTTCAGAGGATGTGTCGGACAACACTTGCCTATTGCCCATCTCCAGAAATGCTTAGATGAAGTTTGAGACACGACCTTCAAATATTATTCTGTCCATCCCCTCCCATTGTTAACAGCATGGAAGTTAGATACTTGTATAGGAAAGGAAAGTGCCTCTCTCCCTGCCTCCCACCCAGGCCACCTGGAGCTATGTCAAGAGCAACAGGAGTTCTAATCATAAATACATATTTTCCTCTCCATCACCCTCACCAAGCTCCAGTCCAAGATTCAAGTGTCCCAGGGTGTTGCGACGAAGGATCTCCCAACCCCGGTGACTGCTGCTGCGGGATGTGGTCCGGGATAGGGAGGGCGTTGGGAGGGTCAGAGAGCCTCTGGCTCGAGTCCCATTTTCAACCACAGAGAGATATTTCTCAGAAAGATGTTCATCCTCCCTATCTGAGGACTTGAAAGCTTCCACGTAGCGAAGCATTCGCAAAGGATTTTGATCATGGAGGCTCTCGATTCTAAGGGGAAAAGGGAAAGCACTCAGTTGAGGTGGGCAGAGATGGGCTGTGGGGAGGAACAGAGGTGAATGGGGCACATGTAGGAGACTGGACCAAGAGGAAAGGGGAAGGTAAGGAGCAGAGGTGACATAAGAAGAGCACCCAGGGAAGTGCAATAGAATGAAGGACTAACTGGGGTAGAGACCAAGGAGGTCTTGAACTCAGGATTTGAGTGTGGGTATGATGGTGGGGAATGGGTGAATATGAAAGAGAAAAAAGCCAATTAATAAATAATTATATCATAAAAATCAGGTAAAATTCAGGACATAAATAAGAGGAGAAAAGAGATAGATTAGGAGCTAAGAATAGAGTATGAAGGAGGTTAGCTTTAGGCAAGAACATACTAGAATGGGGGTCATCTGGGAATAAGATTTTAACAAGTTGGGTAGCCCATCCCCACATCCAAGCATAGATACATATATGTAGTTTTTCATATGTTACTGCCCTGATGGACACATAGCCTGGCATCAGCTATCATCAGTCTTTCTACCCTCCTCGGCTCCAGCCTCCTCCCTCAAACTGGCTAATGCAGGGTCACTGTATAGAGTGATGACTTCTCCCTAAGGTCCAATGGGGATCTCAAGAATGGAGGGGAGGGTGATAAATGTGAAACTGGTCACCCTTGTTCCCATGGCATCACACACATTTCAGTTCACGCATATACATTGTCACTCACCGCAGGAACCAGCGGTCCCCTAGCCCGTACTTGTATCCACAGATCCCAGAGCGAGGCCACAGGAAGCGAGGCATCTTTCTTTCCAGCATCATGGTGGTGGCCACGACCTGGACAGGGGGAGAGGTAGAGGAAGAACTCAGAAGGAGCCATGTGGTTCAGAGAACACAGAAAGAGAACCCAAGGGCAACTATGGAATAGAGACAGCAGATATCAATGGAGATGACAGTCATTGATCCTTCCCCTCACCTGTGCCAGGCACCATGCTATCTGCTTTACTCCTAATTCATCAGAAAAGCACAAGAATATTTTATGAGTATTTTTAATAAAACAGTGACCCCTACATTACTATTCAGATTCATGAAAAGTGAGTCACTCCAAAGTAATTTCATTTGCTCTTTCATAGGAAAGCCATAGACCAATGATCCTGATTTAAATAAAATTATTAAATAGAATCTCTATGATCTTGAGGATTAATTAAGGCTGCTAGTGCTCAGGGAACTTGTAACAAATATCCTAACAGGGAAGAGAGTAGGTTAATGATGGCACACTTAGCAGGGAAAATTCTAGTGGCATGTCACATGTTCTGTACTTTGCCCAGCCTTCATTAATTACTTAAATGAAACAGAAGAAAAACTTATCAAATATACCCATGACACAAAAGAGGGAGGGAAATGTAATTTGCAAGGTGACAGAAGCAATATAAAAATGATCTCACCAGACAGGAATGCTGGGCAGAAACCAATAACATAAAACTTAAGGAAACCAAATATAAGGTTCTTTATTTATGTTTAAGACTCAAGTGTCTGTGTAAATACAGGAAAACAGTGAAAGAGCTTAGCGAAGTAAGTTGGGTAACAGAAATGTGGGGTTCTAGTTGATCATAAGCTCAATTTTAGGTGCTATTCATGGTTTATTGTCCAAAGCAAGAAAGGGCATGCCCACTCTTCATACTGCATTCCTCTGATTATATCAGGACCACCCCAGTTTTTAAAGGCCCGTGATCTATTAGGGCATGAACAGGAGTGTGCAGTCAGTATGGATTGGGGCCAAGAAGCTTCACTGATTGAAATGACTGCCAATCCTTTAAAATGCCCAGTTCTCCATTTTCCATTCTTACACCCTGTGTCTTTCTAGCACTCTACACTTCTCTTGACCTTCTCTAAGTTTCCTAGTTGTACCAAGTTCCATCCAACCTCAGGACTTTCAATCATTCCATTCCCTTTCCCTGGATAGCTTTTCTTCCTCTTTATCTTGAAAAGGACACTTTTTGTTTTCTTTGCGCTATCTTTGAAACCCCCACCTTCTCTGGTAACAGGGCTCATCTTTCATTTAGATAATCTCTCCTTCTCTACCCCCACTCCATCAATTGGAGAAGACTTGTCTGCATACAGTTCTGGTTGATTAGTCTATTCTCCCCAGACTCCTCTTCCATTACCACCACCACCACTATCCTATAACTCAGACTTGTTCCAATGAGATAGAACTGAGACTAGGTTCACTGGAGGGAAGATGCTCTTTTAAAGGCACATTTCACAGCAACAGGATACAACATGAATGGGGCCCTTGGCATTGTGCTATGAAGTACACTTGCTCATTCCTTTGGGAGTTTACAGCTTCCCTTAGAAAAGCTGGACAAAAGTGAACAGAACAGAAAAGCTGGTATAGTACCTGAAACGATCTGGGCTCCAACCAGACATACCTAAATTTAGTTTAATTCTTTAAACTTTTTATTTATGGAGGCCAACACAAACTCCTCCCACTGCCTTTCTTAAGTCTATTTAAGTTTGACTTTCTGTCCTGTAGCCAAGAGTCCTGATAGATTCAAATCCTAATATTTATCCTTCTTCCTTATTCTTCTTAACTGGTTAATTCTTACCCATGTTTAGGGCTCCTCTTAAATGTCACTCCATCAGAAAAGCCTTTCCTAACTTTCCTGTCAGACTCCCCTGTTGCACCCTGCTCATAGCATCTTCTACTTCTCTGTGACACTTTTACTACAATTGTACAGCTTCCTGCAAAGTCATTTGTTTGATGTCTGTCTTTCCAAGCTCATGTAAGGTCCACGAGGACACAATTTGCATTGGTGTGTTCGTGCTTGTATCCCCCAGCTCCTGGACACTTCCCAACTCATAATTGGACCAAAAAACTTAAGATACCTAGGAATAAATTTAACTAAGAATGTAAAAGACCTGTACTAAGAAAATTTCAGGACATTGAAAAAAGAGATTGAGGAAGATATAAACAAATGGAAGAACATACCATGTTCATGGATTGGTAGAATCAATATCATTAAAATGTCCATATCACCCAGAGCAATCTACAGATTCAATGTAAATCCCCATTAAAATACCAAAGGCATATTTCAAAGATCTAGAACAAACTCTCCAAACATTCATCTGGAATTAAAAAAAAAAACCCCAAATAGCCACAGCAATCCTGAGAAAGAAGAACAAAGTTGGAGAAATCACATTACCAGATATCAAGCTATATTACCAAGCCTATGTTCTCAAAACTGCCTGGTACTTGCACAAGAACAGACGTACAGACCAATGGAATAGAATCGAGAACCCATAAATTGAC